TAGTAATAATCCCTTTCTTTTAAGTTGCTATGAGGACAAGTGAGTAAATATTTGTAACAAATACAGAAGATATTTTATGGACTATATAAACGCTTATGAAATTAACTGAAAGACGTATCAGCCAGTGGCCTGCCATAAACACAGTGAGGAAATAGCTCCATTTTACTTCCTTCTTTATTGTTGAAATTTCAGCTGCATTAACACTGAAATCCTGGGCTGTGTCTCTTTTCTCTGCATCCTGAGGGCCTATTCTAGAGCGCAGAGGACAGGAAATGCTCCCTTTATGGAAATTTTTTTCTTGATATTGTTGTTTAAAGGTTTTATTTTTATAATCATAAATAATTGCTACTGATGAGCACCAAAGCCGTCACCTGGAGAGACTGTGCTCCAATTCAGGCACGAGTCCCTGCTATGTAGAGAAGAGCTGCTGCTAGGAGAGCTGGTGGCAAATGCAAGAGAAAATGGCAGGAATCTTCAGCGTTCAGTGGCGCCAAAGTCGGGGCCAGAGTGGCTCAGCCAGAGCAGCCTCTGCAGCCACAGGGCGTATCCCTAATGTTCCTGCCCACTTCCTGCCAGCTTCGGGGAACCCGGCACAGGGAGCTGGTTCCAAAGTCTGTATCCCTGATCTACTCATTTAGGTACTATTTTCTAACTATTCCCTGGAAAACTTTGTGTAAGATTGGTGTTGTTTCTTTTAAAATTTTTTAAAATAATTTACCAAAGAGGCATTCTAGAGCTAGAGTTTTCTTTGTTGGAAGGTTTTAAGATTTGATTTGTTGTCAGTGTTTCTGTGAAATCTCTCTTCAACTTCAACCTTTCAGTGTTTCTTAGGTTTTAGATGTTTTGCTTATAAAAAGCCTACAACTAAATAATGTTTCCTATTTCCACTCTAAGAAGATGCTTAACTGGATGATTTAGTCCATTTACACTGAATTAAGTAATTATATGTTTATATTTAAATAGATCATCTTATTTTGTGCTTCCTATTTGTTCCGTCTATTCTCTATCCCCTCCCCTTTCTCTATCCTTGAATCCTTTTGGATTGATAACTTTAATCATTCTATCTTTTTTCTCTCTTCCAGGCAGAAGTTACTTATTCTATTATCCTTATTCTAGTGATTAGTATAGAAATGCACCACATGCATTAGTATTTCTCAAAGCCCAATATTAGTTGATGTTTACTATCCTCCTAGAAAATAAAAAGTTTAGATTTATGAACACTTTTCTGTGTATGTTTTGGAAAATATATGTATCCATACCTGTTGGAACTAGAAGTGAAATTGCTGAGTAGTAGGATATACAAATTTCAGCTTTAATATTAATACTGCCAATCAATTTTATAATGTGATTGAACCAATTTACAATTCTATTAGTAGTCTATGTTCCGCACTTTTCCCTCATCATTGCAAACACGTGGTGTTGCCTTTTACTTTAATGAATCCGGTGGCTGTGAGTTGGTATCTCATTATGGTTTTATTTTATAATTTCCTGATGAAGTTGAGCACCTTTTCCTATGTTTATTGGCCATTTGGATATCCTACTTTTTTTCCATTTTGATATCCTTTTTGTGTATTCATGTTTCATCCCAATTTTTCTATTATGTTGTCTGTTAGTGATTTTCAGGAGTCCTGTATATTTCATGAATTCGAGTCTTTGTAGATATTTAAGAATTGCAATTATCTTCCCCTACTCAACTGCTTGCCTTTCATTCTCTTAAAATGGTGTCTTTTAATAAACTTTTAGTAAAGTTTTTTTTTAAAATATCTGTCAGCTTCTCATTTTTTTTTCCTGAAAGATTGGCACCTGAGCTAACATCTGTTGCCAATTTTCCTTTCTTCTTCTTGTCCTCCTCCTCCTCCTTCCCCCTCTCCCACCCCCTCCCTCTCCCCCCGACCAAAGCCCCCGGAGTACATAGTTGTGTATTCTGGTTGTGAGTGCCTCTGGTTGTGCTGTGTGGGACACCACCTCAGCATGGCCTGACGTGCGCTGCCATGTCCGCGCCCAGGATCCAAAGCAGGGAAACCCTGGGCTGCTGAAGCAGAGTGTGTGAGCTTAACCACTTGGCCTTGGGGCCCGCGCCCTCAAGGTAAAGTTTTGTAATGAAGTTTGCTTTATCAGTGCGTTCCTTTATGGGGAGAATGTTTGATGTCCTGTTTAAGAAAGCTTTGCCAGTCACAAGGTCACGAAGATGCTTTTCTGTGTAATATGATGTTGTAGCGTTAGTGGGCATCTTTGTCTCATTCCCGATCTCAGGGGAAAAGTTTTCAGTAATTCACATTAGGTATGATATTTGCTATGATCTTTTATAGGTATGTCTAATCAAATTAAAGAGGTCCTCTTGTCTTCCTAGTTTGCTAAAAGAGATTTTTTAGAAAATTTCTCCTGAATCAATGTTGAATTTTACTAGATGATTTTACTGAATATACAGAGATGATTATATGTCTTTTCTCCTTCCTTTCATGTTCATGTGGTGAATTACATTGATTTGATTTTTACCTGATAAACCACCTTGTATTTCTGGAATACACTCCACTTGGTTATGCTATATGATCATTTCAATACCCTGCTGGATTTGTTGCTAATATTTTGTTGTAGATTTTTAAGTGCATGCTTTGGAGGGTGATTGGTCTATAATGTTCATTTGTTTAGTCAGAGGTATGCTGCTTTTTCAAATCATGTTGTTAAATGTTCCTTTTTTTAACTATTCCCTGGAAAACTTTGTGTAAGATTGGTGTTCTTTTAAAATTTTTTGAAATAATTTACCAAAGAGGCATCCTAGATCTAGAGTTTTCTTTGTTGGAAAGTTTTAATAATGGACAAAGAATATATAGGAGTTAGGGATGACAGCCTTGGTTAGTGATACAGATTTCATTTGCTCCAAACTTACTATGGATCTTAAGAGTCTCAATTATCTTAAGAGGATTCAGGAGCCTGACTATATCTACATCAGACACAAAAAAGTTACCTTAAGTGTCTCCCCACCCTCGACTACAAATTAGGTTCCCTTTTTGAGGACTGTTGGTGAAGGGATGCTGGCTGTACGCTGAAAGCCATTTAGGGGCGCATCCAACTGGGTCTCCAAATTTTGGTCCAGTTCTCTTTCAGATTCACACGCTGATTTTCTGAAGGCATCCAAAGATGAGCATGCTCTTGGTGACAGACTCATACTGTTTAAAATCAGAGTCTTATGTACCTCTTAGTGGAACTCTTGGCTCATAGGGATGTAAATGTTCAATTTAAGTAGTTACAGCTGAACAGTCTTTCAAAGCAGTTGTACAATACAGATTTACCAACCATCAACTACTCCATCTCCTCACCAACACTTGATACTGTCGGTCGTAATGTTTCCCCTTCTGATGGGGACGTAGTAGTATTGCGTTGTGGTTTAAATTTGCATTTCCCTGATAATTAACAAAGTTTATTGGCCATTTGGATATCTTTCTATTCAAGTTACTTGTCCATTTTGAACTAGATTTTCTGCCTTTTTTCTTATTTTTAGTTCTTCCTATATTCTGGATATGTCCTTTGCCAGTTAAGTGTGTTGCAAATATCTTTTCCCACTCTGTGTCTTGCCTTTGAACTCTCTTAATGATATTTTGATAAACAGAAAATCCTCACTTTTTAAAAAAAATCCTCATTTTAATGCATTGTGGTTTAATTTATAGTCTAATTTATCAAGTTCTTTAAAATTTATGATTAGTGCTTTCTGTAACCTTTAAAAGGAAAAAAACACCTTTCCCTATTCCAAAGATACTCCTATTTTTGATAGCCCTACTTCTAGAACTGCAATGTCCAATAGAGGAGGCACTAGCTGCATGTGGCTATTTAAATTAATTAAAATGACATGAAGTTAAAAGTTCAGTTTTTCAGTTGCACTAGCAACATTTAAAGTGCTCAACAGCCACGTATGGCTAGTGACTACTGTACTGGACAGTACAGGTATACAATATGTCCATCATTACAGAATGGATATATTCTATTGGACCGTGCTGATCCAGAATCTGTATTGTTTTACCACTCACATTTAGATCAATAATCCAGATGCTATTACGTTTGTGAATAAAATAAGGTGGGGTCGGGTTTTACTTTTCATGAATATATATATATATATATAAAACCAGCCCTGATGGTCTAGTAGTTAAGTGGCGCTCTCACTGCAGAGGTCCAGTTTTGTTATCCTGGCAGGGAACTACACCACCCATCTGTCGATTGTTATACTGCATGTTGCTGTGATGCTGAAAGCTCTGCCACTAGGATTTCACCAGCAGGGTCACCCATGGTGGACAGGTTTCAGTGGAGCTTCCAGACTAAGACAGACTAGGAAGAAGGACCTGGCCACTCACTTCCAAAAATAATGGCATGAAAACCCTAGGAATAGCAACAGAGGAGTGTTTGATACAGCACTGGAAGATGAGAGGTTGGCACAAAAAGACCAGGCAGGGTTCTGCTCTGCTGTACACAGGGTCACTAGGAGTCACAAACTACTCATTGGCACTAACAACAAATACATATATAAGCATATATATCTCTCTCTTTCTCCACCAAAAGACAAGTACAAGAATATTCATAGCAGCATTCTCCTTAATATCCAAAAACTGGAACAACTCAAATGTTCAATAATAGAATGGATAAATAAATTATGATGTATTCACATAGAGTAATGTGCTGCTACTCCCAACAGTATGAGTGAATATCAAGCTATAATGCTGAATGAAAGCCAGACAGAAGAGAATACATACTATAGTACTCTAGTTATTTAAAGTTTTAAAAATGTAAAAATAATCTAGTGTTAGAAGTCAAGATAATGGTTTCCTTTGGGAAGAAGGGACGGGGTATTTGTTGGGCGGGGCATGAGGGGGGCTTCTGGAGTGCTAATAGCATTCTGTTTCACTGGATGGTGGTTACAGAGTTGTGTTCATCTGTGATGACCCATTAAGCAGTAAATTATTCAAGGATAGTTTTTTTTTTTTAAAGCTAAAATCATTACTGTCGTATAGATATAAAATGAATAGATTTTATTGAATTACTTAATTGGTGAGGGAACAAGTAAAAAGTTACTGTTACCAAAAGTCTCATCTGTGAACTCAGTACCAATCCAAATAACAAGAACAGTCTTGAATGGAAAGGAAAGGCTTTATTTTCTTTGCCAGGCAGAGGGAGCAAAGCAATGGCTAGTGCCTTAAGAATTGCTAGTTCCCTGTTGAGAAACCAGGTAGGGGTTTTTATTTGGGGTTTTAGGTAGCAGAGGGGGGCCTGTAGCCTTGATTGCCGGTGATTTCCCACCAGTCTGCATTTGGCCTTGTGAGGCTATCTGCTGAGTGAGATAAGAGAATTCACAGATGGGTGTCCTTGGCTGTCTCTGTGGCAGATGGTGGACTCTGGTGCCAGCAAGCTCTGGGAAGCTTCAGTTTCTTGATATTCTCTAGTCATTAGTTTCTCTATAAAAGAACTTCAAAGACCTGTGATTAGCCACAACTTTAGTGGGAACCCAGCTTGAGGCCATGTGGGCTTTAACAGCTTGTAACTCCTATTTGGTTGTAAAGCTCAGAGAGTCAAGGTTAAAGAGACAGATAGTTACATATGAGAGTAACTGAAGAAGCAGGGAATGGGGATGGATGGTTCTGGTTTTAACCCCATATGTGCTGGGTTCAAGGTAGGGGAATTGATATCAGGGCCCGTAGTAAGTGCCTGTAACATTACTACTGGTTCAAAATACATGAAATGAATTTACGAATAGATGCAGAACTGTTTTTTTGTGGGAGGTTGCTGGAGAGAAATCAGTTGTCCCTCCACCAAACAATTTATTTGCTTGTCTATAGATGAGAATAATTTGCATTATCAATTGTCTACTGGTATTTTAAACTCACCAAGTTTTAAAATAGCTCAGAGAATGAAAGATTCAAACCCTAGAGAATCAGACAACCTGGAAGGGTATGCTCTAGACATCTCATAGTTTTCCATTACAGATGCTTAATAATCTTTTTGGTCCATTTCACAGTCTTTCACAACACTTAAGATTTTTCAGTAAGTACATTATACTTCAATAAAAAAATTATTAAAAATAAAATTAAGTCCAGGAAAATAGGGCTCTATAATCCACATGTCAGCTTTCTCAGATATTTCCCAAGACATCTCTAAATTCCTGAGAATTCCCAACTGGCCAAGATTCTTTAAAGCTTCAACCTCCTGCCATGTGGCTTGCCTCTGTCTTACTTCCCTCTTCCCATTCCCCTCTCCAGAACTATCTAGATTTCTACCAAGGTGAAAGAGGGGAAATTGCCCATAATGTTGATTGGGAAAGGAGATCTAAGGATCTGTCTCAAAGAGTTTCCACTATGTCTTCTTTACCCTTTTTATTCTAGCTCCACCCCCTACCTTCAGTCCCAATTCCAGAAGTATCTAGTATTGCAAATCCTGTACTTTTTGAGGTTTCTGAGATATAAAGTTGGATTCACACTCAGCTTTTCCCACAGCTCTCTGGGAATTTGGCATTTTTCAGGTTTGCCAAGAAAATAACATCCATCTACTTTCCAGGTACAAAATGTTGCTGTTGTGTCCTTTACCTGTATTTTCCTGATTTTGTAATCATGGGCCCATTTAGAGCCAGTTTGAACAGAACCCATCTCTCGTCAAGATAGTAATTAAGGATTGTCTTCCAGAAAAACTATAGTCACCTAGCCAGGGCATGTGCAAAAGAAATCGTGACCTGAAACGACCGTGGAACCAAAGATCCTCCTCCCCACGGAACCCAAGGACCAGGATGTGACCGGAACTTGAAAGTCCGACTCTTATTCAGAAATGAGGGGTCCCTCATTCAGGAAGATCCGGTGTTAAAATTCCTTCCCCACCTCATCAAAAATGTTTAGAGCCCCATCATAAATGTTTAGAACTCTGTCATAAATGTTTAAAACTTTACCATAAAGGCCTGAAGCCCACCAGTCAAAACCTGTCCCGCCAGCATTTCCACGTGCCAGCCTGTTCTCCCTAACCTCTTAAATTTTGTCCCAAATCCTGAATCGGGGAGACAGATCTGAGGGCACATGTCCTCTGTTCTCCCTACAGATCGATCTTGCGGAATAAAAAGCTGATTTCTCCCACCAAAGGCTGGTGCTATAATTAATTGGCTTGTTTATGTGCATTGGGCAAAGAACCCCAATTTTGTGCAGAAATAATTTTGTGAGTTAACAAGTTTTCAAATAATCTCTTAAATTTGATTTTACTGGGTATTGGAAGGGAACAAAATGTGATGTTGTTAAAGAAAAGATTATCCTAACTGTTAAAGAAAAAATTGTTCATCACACTTGTTAAAGAACGGAAAGGCAGAATTTATTCAAGGGGGGCCATCGTGATAGGTATAGGGACTTACGGCGGGGTCTTGCAGTGGGGAAGAGAGATTGGGCTCAGCTCTGAGTATAGCACGGGCAAGTGCGAATTTATACCCAAGGAGCAAGTTGGGGGTCAGAGGATGGAAAGTTATTAAGAGGCAACATCAGGGGTGAGAGGGGATTCTGGCTAAACTGACCTAACAGGATTCTTGCTGAAAGCGGGCCAGATGACCAGATGTCACCCGGGGGTGGTGAAGGGTGAGGAACCTGGTCAGATATGGAGAGCAATCAGATGTGGAGGATGGAGGATTCTGGCTAAACTGGCTTAGCAGGATTTTTGTTAAAATTAGATGATGCAGAAATGAACATGGGGATCCATGCGTAGTTGAAAAAGAGCTCAGAGGGGCCTCATTAGAGTTTGGTCAAGGAGAGAATCTGTCAGTGTGACCGGCCCAACCTCTAAATATTCCCTTTCTATAAATTTAGATAAATTTTTTAAAAAGTACTCTAGTCTTTTTAAAAATGTCGAGTTGCGTTGCTGTCAAATAATGTGGTCCATCCGGTACAATTCCTCAGGAAGTGTTGAGACTACTTTACAGCCTAGCATGAGGTCATTTTTTAAATATAAATATGTGATTTCATTAATTAGTGAAAAATGTGTTTTCATTAATTTTAGAATGCAGTATTCTATATGTCTGTTCATTAAATCAAATGTTAATTTTGCTCTTCAAATATTCTGTATCTTGAGTGCTTTTGGAGGGGGTGGCTTTTCTAGCCATTACTAAGAAAGATAGGGTATTAATAACTCTCTGTGGTGGTGGATGTCAAATCTCTTCATAGTTCTGTCAATTTTTGCTTTATGTATTTTGAAGCTACATTTTTAAATAATGTGAAGCTAAATTATTAAAAGTTTATGAATATTTTCTTCTTTTGGTGAATTAACCCTTTTGTTGGTATGTGATTGCCTTCTCTACCTCTGGCAATATTTTTTGACTTAATATATATTTTGTTTCATCTAAATGTAGCTACATTAACTTTCTATGGTTAATATCTGCCAGCTATATCTCTTCCCAACTTTCTACTTTTAAGGTTTGTGTATCCTTATGTTTCAGCAGATAGCTAGATTTTTAAAAATCTGATAGTATTTTTCTTTTAATTGGAAAGTTCAATCCATGTGCATTTCTAGTGATTATTGACAGACTTGAATTTATCGCTAACATCTTTTTCTGAACTTTTTATTTGTTTATACTTTTCTGTTTCTGGGTCATTGGGGTTTTTGTTCGTCCTTCTTCCTATCCCCATCCCAAACTCTCTGCTTGTTTGGAAATTGCATGGTCTATGTTGTGAGTTTTATCAAGGACCATTTCTCTGCCAGAACAACTATGATGAACATGTTCATGTAGTTTCTAATTTTAGAATGCCCTTGTAGTCCTGGAGAAACTGTTTAGTTCAAGGTATTTGTCTTAGTGTAGTGATAGATTGTTACTTAGTTTGTTTGGTGTTGTTTAGGTTACCTTAGCTTGATTAAATAAATTGTGAAGATTTTCATATTTTTCAATATTTTGAAATAGTTCAGACAGCTGTCAAAGAGAGACAGAGCTGGACACTAGTTAAAGGTAGTAAAGACAGATTTTATTCAGTATTATTGCACTAGGGAAGAGAGGCTGCAGTAAAACTGAACTCAACTCCCAACACAGCAAAGACAGCTGGGGATTTACAGCCAACAAGCAGAGTAAGGGGGTCGGTCAGTGGATGGAAAATTACCAAGACTTCAGGGTTAGGGAGATTCTTGCTAAAGGCAGGCCAAGCTCTTCTGCATGGAGAGTAGGGGATGAGGGGTTTGATCAGATACCAAGCGTGGTGGATCCTACCTAAACTGACTTAGGATTCTTGCTAAAACTGGGCTCCACAGGCCAAGGACAGGGCCCAAGTACTTAGCCTAGTAGAAAAGAGGAACCTGTCTAAAGTTTGGTCAAGGAGTGAGTCTTTGTCACAGCAATAGAAAGAGGCAGAGGAAACTAGCAGTTATTTTTAGAAAACCAAATATTACAGTCTAAGCTACCATACTGATCTGCCCTAAATGTCATGTGTTCTCCAAGTCCCACAGTGGCAGATCCAGCTGAAACCAACCGAACTCTGGCCACATGTTTAACTGGAGATTTTGTCGGCATCCCACACAGTGATAATTCTGAAGCACTTAGAGCAGCACGTGACACTGAGCTGGAGGAGCGGGCACAGGCCCGTCATGGAGCGCTCACCATGTATCCGGTGTGTCGCTACCTCCTCTGCTCCTTCTGACAACTTCGCAAGGGACTCCTCCGGCGTTCCTTTATTTCAGAGGAGCACGGCGAGGCTTCGCCAAGGCTGTCTGCCCCTTCTCTCCTCTCCCGGTGGGCATCGACAGACTCACGAAGGGCTGGGTAAGGGTCGCCGGAAGAAGGTAGCCGCGCAGTCCGCTTCTCGCTCGGCAAGCCGCTAGCCCAGGGACGCCGAGCTGCTGTCCCGGGAGCCTGCGCCTCCGGACTCGCGCCTGCGCACTCCGACCCCACGCCTCGCCCCCGCAGCCTTGTGGGAAATGTAGTCCAGCGCCCCGCGTGGAGGCGCCGGGCGGGGCCGCGTCGGTCCGCTGGCGGCTCCCGCTCCTGCCTGGAGAGGGTGAGTGTCGGCCCCGAGGCGGGACGCGCGGGGCTTGGCGGACGCTGGGCGAGCGCAGGGCGAGGCCCTGAGGGGCGGAGCCGGCGGCGGGTGGGCTGGGGACCGCGTCCTCTCCGCGCCGAGCAGCCTCGGGCCGCCGAGCCCAGGGGCGCCTCTTCCGCAGGAGCTGGGCCGGGGACAACAGCGAGAGCTGAGGGTCGCCCCGACGCCGTCCCTCTGCCGCCTGCCGGGGCCGGCGGGGCGGGGACCTGGCGGGCGGTCCGGGAGTCCTCGGGCCCAGCTCCTCCCCGCGGGCTCTCCCCGGACCCGCCTGGAAAGTCTCGGGCGTGCGGGCCGGGCGCGGGGTCTCGCGGCGCGGCGCCGGCCCTGTGCGCCTGCGGCTCCCTCGACCCCTCCCCGTGGGAGTGGGCCGGCCCGGCAAACTTCTGCTCCGAGGAACCCTTTGCTTTTCTTTCAAGCAGTTTTTTTCTCTTAAAACAAAAACCAGGGTCCGCCCGGTGACTTAGCGGTAGGGTCCGCGTGCCCCCTGGGCGGCCGGCGCTCGCGGGTTCAGGGCCGGCGCAGCCCGACCCGGCCCGCTGGGCAGCCGCGCGGTGGCGGCGTCGCGCGCGATGGAGAAGGACCGGCTCCCGCGGGCGATGGAGGAGGACCGACTCCCGTGGGCGATGGAGGAGGAGGGCTCCCGTGGGCGATGGAGGAGGACCGACTCCCGCGGGCGATGGAGGAGGACCGACTCCCGTGGGCGATGGAGGAGGAGGGCTCCCGTGGGCGATGGAGGAGGACCGACTCCCGTGGGCGATGGAGGAGGAGGGCTCCCGTGGGCGATGGAGGAGGACCGACTCCCGTGGGCGATGGAGGAGGAGGGCTCCCGCGGGCGATGGAGGAGGAGGGCTCCCGTGGGCGGATGGAGGAGGACCGACTCCCGCGGGCGATGGAGGAGGACCGACTCCCGCGGGCGATGGAGGAGGACCGACTCCCGCGGGCGATGGAGGAGGACCGACTCCCGTGGGCGATGGAGGAGGAGGGCTCCCGTGGGCGATGGAGGAGGATCGGCTCCCGCGAGCGATGGAGGAGGACCGGCTCCCGGGGGGGATGGAGGAGGAGGGCTCCTGCGCGCGGCCGGCTGACCTCGAAGAGAGGCGACTGGAAATTCGGAGGTGCGGGGAGGAAGGAGTCGTTTGAACCTGTCAAAGTCCACACGTCGGCGAGGATGTGTGTGTAAATGTAGAACAAAGATGTGGATGCTGGAGTTCTTGTCTCCATTTACTTTTTAAAGTGAGCTGTGTAATACGTTCGGTAGGGTTTAAAGTGCGCAAATCTTAAGGTCCATGCTTTTTTATAAACATTTTTACCTGTGTAACTACCACAGGAACACCTACTTATGACAATTTTTTTTTAAGGTTTTTTTTTGTCCCCCCCCCCAACGTAGTTGTGTATTTTTAGTTGTGAGTCCTTCTAGTTGTGGCATGCCGGAGGCCGCCCCCAGCATGGCTTGATGAGCGGTGCCATATCCTCGCCCAGGATCCGAACCGGCAGCGGAGTGCACAAACTTAACCAGTCCCGCACCGGCCGGCCGGTATGCCAATTTTTAAAAACAGCTAAGTCATCATTTTTAGTGAGTGTGAGGAAAAGTATGGCTGTGCCATGTTTAATCGTCGCTTTAGGACTTTGTGTTCTTTCTAAGGTTTTTTTCAATATTATAAACAATGCAGGCCGTTTGCTACATGTGACTTTACCTTATTGTCTCTTTCCGTAAGTCCTTCAAGTGGAATTTCTGGATCAAGGTCTCTGAGGCTTGAAACTCTTACTCTCCCGGCAAGAGGAGTAGTTTACAAACACTTGCAACGTCAATGTGCCTGATTCACCCACACCACCTGTGGGTGGTGGTCTCTAACTTTCGAGAGGTGCAAATGATAGGGTGGTTTAAATTTGCATTTTGAACACTCATGAATATTTTTATACAACTTGTGTTTTGTTTTAAAGTTTTGTAGCTGATACACAAGTATATGTTTCCTTACTACTCAGAAATGTTACATTTTCATATCGTCAGACAGGAAGACCGTCCCTTCGTGTTTGGGTCTCTGACATAATTGTTAGGGAGGCCTGTTCCACATGATCACAAAAATGTTCATCTGTATTTCCTTCTAGTCTTTTCGTTTTATTTTATGTGCAAATTTTTATTTGCAAATGGTAAGCCCTTGTTCCAGGTTATTGACTATTCATCTTTTCTTCACTGATATGCAATGTCGCTTTTTCATATCCTGAATTCTTATATATAAATTATTTTCTGAACCATTTGTGTTGGTAGGATTTGAATTTTTTCCACTGACCCTTTTGCTTGTTAGACTGTAACATCCTTGAGGGCAGAGAGTTTCTCTGTTTTGTTTACAGCTGTATTCACCCCTCCCCTAGGAAAGGCGCCTGGTACACAGGAGGTGGTCAACAGTATATCTGGTGAATGAGTGATTCTGTCTATTTAGTAACATTCCGTTCTAATTATTGTAGCTTTATAATCTCCAGTGGACAAGTTCTCGCTCATCATTATACCCTTTCAAAAATTTCCTGGCTGTTGGTATACAACACAATTAACTTCTTCAAAAATCATTTTTTCCATAATTAACTTTAAAATATTACTAGCTAAGTATAACTTGGGTGGGAGTGTGTGAAGTTTATAAACTGATTTCAAAGAAGTGACAACTTAGAATATTGTGACGTCCTATCCAGGAATATGTGTGTCTGTCTCTGTTCATCTTTCTTAACATATCTAAATAAGCTTAATAAATAGAAATTATAGTTTTCTTTATGTAGATGCTGTACACTTTTTATATGGTTTATTTATGGGTATTTTATTTTTTATTGTTGCAGGAGCCTCATTTCTCATGGGTTCCTTCTTTCCTGCAGCTCTGCCTCCTGCCCATCCCCCAGGAAGGATCCCACTAGAAGGAAGGAGAAGGCAGTGGCTGCTGGACCTCTGCCCTCAGGAGCTCAGGTGAGCTCCTCCTTCTCTCTCAAACCGCTCCCTTACTCATATACTATATGTGGGCTTCACTGCAGATGACCGGGCTATTGAGATCTCAGAATGTTGGATATTTTCCACAAAGCCCCCCTCAGTGTCCCTCAGCTCTGTTCTCAGCTGTCACTTTGTCATTCAGCTGGATATCTGGCCTGCTGAGCTCTTGGTGTGTGCAAGGGTCAGAAAAGGAACAAAAATCATGTGAGAGATGTTCCTGTTGCTAATAGGGCTTACAGACTCTCAGGGAACTTAAATGAGGTCACATCTGGACAGGACACAGTCACAATGATTGCACATGAATGTGATAGTAAGAACAAGTGTGGTTAGGTCCCCAGATTGTCAGTGTTCCAAGACCTGGAGAGGGAAGATCAGTGTGGTGACCAGAAGTAGGGTTGGGTAGGGATAACCGGAGGGGATTTGCTGTCATGGAGTCAGTGTCCCAAAGTTAAACCTGCCTCTAGCATTTAATAGCTGCATTGTCTTGGGCAAGTGACTTGACTTCCCTGAAGGATTATTTCCTCGTGGTGATGAGAGAAATAACATCCTTGACTGAGGGCTTGCCTCATAACTGACACCGGTGAGAATCTCACACGGCTTATTTCACTTATCATACCTACTGCCCAGTATGTAAATAGCGCCTAGCCAGCTCCCTGGAATGTTGAAGGTATTTGGTAAGTGGAAGGCATTCTTATTCCAGCCAAGAGCCAGGTATTTTAGAGTTTTAGAGGTGGAACGAATGTAGCAGTGACAGGTAGTGAGAGGAAGTCAGATACAAAGTTCGAGGTCAAGTGCCAGGAAGGGGTGTTTGTGTGTTGGGTAGGGTGGTAGGTGTGGCAGCGGAGAGGAGGCTGAGGAACTTCCATAAGGGAGTTGGCGTGATAGAAGCTTTTCTAGAAAGAAGCAGTGTCCATCATGAGGACATCTAGCTAGAGGAGATCATGGAGAGAAAACAGTGAGTGAGGAGCCTGGGGTGTCTTTGCCCTGAGAGATTGCCTGAAAATGGAACCTGCTAGTTTTCACTGGAACCTGGAGATGTTGCCTCTCTGGAAAAGGAAACGACCTCAGGGAGACTTGGCCCGGGAGAAAGGTTCTGTTTTTGTTTTTAAGGTCAGTCTTACTTAACCTCATCTGCAATACTGAAGGACTTGTGGTGTTTTCTCTATTCATAAGATCACATATTAGGGTCTCTTCAAATCATCTCTTGCTTATTCATCCAAGGAACCAGTTTAAAGAAGTCTTCACAAAGACAAGTAGTAACTGTTGTGATTTCTATTTGTACTACTTTCTCCCCTCAGTATGATCAAGCTCAGTTATAAAAGGCAACATAACTCACAAAAATAGGTATTAGAGAGAGGGAGTTCTTTTAATCTATGTTAATATGTGTTGTTCCTCTCATTTATTTTACTCCTATGTATTATTCCATAATGAAAACAAATCGTGTTTTTATTTACCTCTTCCACTACAGAGGGACAGTTAGGATGTTTTCTTTCTTCATTGCTATAAACAGTGTTGCAGGAACAGCTTTGCCAGTGTCTCCTTATATGCCTGTGTGAGTGTTTCTCTAGAGCAGCGGTTCTCAAAGTGTCGGCCCCTGGGAACCTGGGAGCTGTCAGGAATGCAAATTCTTCAGTCCCACCCCAGACCTTGTGACTCAGAAACTCTGGGGGTGCGGCCCAGCAATGCGATTTTTTTAAACTTGAAATATAATTGACATAGAACATTATATTAGTTTCAAGTATACACACAATGATTCAATATTTGTGTATATTGCAAAATGGTCACTACAAGTCTAGTTAACATCCCTCACCACACATAGCTACAATTTTTTTTTTTCTTGTGGTAAGAATTTTTATAGACGAGGGAGTTTCTGAAAGAGGGAAAGGTTTAAAGGGGGAGCATTCAGAAGATTTCGGTTCATGAAGGTTGTGGTTTGGTTGTCATTTTATTTTATTTAGTTAAAATAATGTTAACTAAGTTTTGGGTTTTTTTAAAGATTTTATTTTTTTATTTTTCCTTCTTCTTCCTAAAGCCCCCTCAGTACTTAGTTGTATATTCTAGTTGTGGGTCCTTCTAGTTGTGGCATGTGGGACGCCACCTCAACATGGCTTGATGAGCGGTGCCATGTCTGCACCCAGGATCCGAACCGGCGAAACCCTGGGCCACGGAAGTGGAGGGCACAAATTTAACCACTCGGCCACAGGGCCGGTCCCATTAACTAAGTTTTTAAATTAGCTTTCTTTTCAGGTATAACTTACGTGAAATAACCCCTTGTAAGTGTATAATTCGTTGAGTTCTGACAACTTTATGCACCAACATAATCACCACCTCGATCAAGCTGTAGAACATTTCCATCACCCTAAAAAGTGTCCTCACCCCCTTCCAGTCCACACCCCCATCCCAGGCAACTACTGGTTTGATTTCTATCATTATGGATTAGTCTTGCCCTTCCTAGAGCTTCATGTAAATGAAATTATGCAGTATATATTCTTTTGTGCCTGGCTTCTTTTGTTCAACCTAAGGTTTTTCAGATCTGTCCATGATACTGTATATAGCAGAAGTTTGTTCCTTTTTATGGCCAAGTAGTATTCCATTGAATATTCCACATTTTGTTCATCCATTCACTTGTGATAGACATTTCAGTTGTTTCCTGGTTTTGGCTATTATGAATAAAGCTATAAACATTCATATCTAAGTTTCTGTGTGGACATATGCTTTCATTTCCCTTCAGTAAATATCTAGGGGTGGAATTGCTGGTCAATAGTATGTTCAACTTCATAAGAAACAGCAAAATGGCTTTCCAAAGTTATGTCCCGTTTTACATTCCCACCAGGAGTGTTTGAGCATTCCAGTGGCTCTATCTCCTCTTCCATGCTTGGTGTATAGTTTGCTAGGCTTCTGTAACAAAGTACACAAACTGGGTGACTTCAAACAACAGAAAGTTACTGTCTCACAGTTTTGGAGGCTAGAAGTCTAAAACTAAGGTATTTTCAGGGCTGTGCTCCCTCTGAAACCTGGAAGTGGGGAGTCCTTCCTCACCTCTTCCCAGTGTCTGGCAGCTTGCCAGCAGTCTTTGGCACCCCTTGGCTTATAGCTGCATAACTGCCATCTTGGCCCTCATTGTCACATGGTGATCTTCCTGTGTGTCTGTGTCTTCAAATGGCTGTCTTCCTATAAGGACACCCGTCATATTGGATTAGGGGTCCCTCTTACTGTAGTATGACCTCATCTCAACTAATTACATCTACAGGGACCCCATTTCCAAATAAGGTCACATTCTGAGGTACTGGAAGTTTGGACTTCAACAGATCTTTTTTGGGGGACACAATTCAATCCATAACACTTAGTATATGAGTGTTTTTAATTTAGCTATTCCCATGGGTGGGAAATGATATTTCATTGTGGTTTTTAAACAAATATTTTTATTATGAAATGATTTCAAACTTAAAATAATTGTTGAAAAAATAATACCAAAAATTCCTATATAGGCTTCACCTGGATTGCCATGCTTGCTTTCATTCTTTCTCCTCACATATATATATATATATATGTATGTGTGTGTTTATATATACATATATGCATATATATGCACATTTAATTTTTTCTGAACCACTTAAGTTATAGAAAGTGCCCCATTAACTCTCTAAGTACTTCAGTATGTGTTCCTAAAAGCAAGGCCCTTATCTTACATAACCAAAATACAGTTATCAAAATAGAGAAAATTATGTTGATACAATACTATTAGCTGCTCTACAAACCTTACTCGTATTTTGCCAGCTGTCCCACAAATGTCTTTTATCTGGTCCAGGATCTAATCCAGATCACACCTGGCATTTAGCTGCCACACGTCTTTAGTCTCCCTTAATCTGGAACAGTTCGTCAGTCTTTGTCTTTGATGCCCTTGACCCTTTTGAAGAGGACAGGCTAACTGTTCTATAGACTGTTCCTCACTTTGGGTTTGTTTGATGTTTGCTGATGATTTGATTGAAATTCTGATTACTTACTTAAAATTCAAATGGTTAATGTATTCACATCGTTCAAAATTTAAAAAGTATAAATAAGCATGCACTTAAAAAATAAAGTCCCCTTGCTACCCTTGTCTCCCAGCCACCCAGGCATCTCTCCCCACAGGAAAGCCATGACATAGTTTCTTATGCAGCTCTCCAGAGATGACTGTGAGAGCACACCAGTATATACATTTATCCCAAGTTTTTATCCAATTGGTAACAGATAATATTTACTCAGAATTTTGCACCTTGTGTTTTATTTTTATTTTTTTCATCTTACAGTATATCTTTGAGGCGTCTCTGTATCAGTACATAAGGACTTCTTCCTTCCGTTGCGTGGGGCACCGTAGTGTATGTACCCAGTCTCTAGCGGTGGACGTTAGCCCACATTCGTGAGATCCACTGGCTACACACACTTCTTCACTTTAGCTGGTGCTTCTCTGAATTACTGATCGGTTGGAGCTGGACAGCAGACAATGGGAAATGAGTGGCTAAAATTCTGAGAAAGAAAACACAGTTGTCAAATGATGACAGTCAGTGACTGATTTGGGATCTGTTAGCGCAGCACTTGAGCCATTTTCCTTGTTCATTTGTCCTCATATTTTCATCTTTATGGCCAGTGCTGTGACTATGAACTGCCCAAGTATGACTTTTATTTATTTTTAAACATTATCCTCTTTTTCTGAATATAAACATTAGGCATATAGTTATAAAATTTTTTTTAAAGACTAGAAGATATAATTCCGTATCTCAACCTCAAAAATAACTTGGATGTGCATTCTTCCTGGCTTTTTAAATACCTGTTTACATCCTTTGCCCATTTTTATGTTTGGTTGTTTATATATAAAGAAGCCTTTTATATAATGTGGATACTAATCTTTTACCATAAGTTACCAATATTGTCCTCTGTCATTTTTCTTTTAATTTTGTTATAACATCTTTTGCTACAAATAAGTTTTGAAGTTTTATGCAGTTAAATTTCCTTTTCCTTTGTTTGGCTTTCTAGTCATGCTTTGAAAGCCTTTCTGTACCCCAAGATTATATAAACATTTTTCTATGTTTTCTGTTAGTTTTGTCATTTTCAATTTCCATCCTTTAGCTATCTGGAATTTCTTGTCTGTGCTATGAGGTTGGAATCTAACTTCATGTAACATGGTGGTGAGCATTTCACCAACCACCTGTTCATTAAGGAGATACGTAGCCTCCTGTCTGCCCTGTGTGAGCGGTGTTCTGGATCCTGGGAAGATAGCAGTGAATGAGACAGGCAGCGTCTGGGTCTCCTAGATCTTCATTTCTAGAAAGGCGAGACAGACAATAAAGAGGAAGTGTTCCTAAGGACAGTGTTAAGTGCTGTGGTGGCCTTGCAGCAGGGTGGTGTGGTTGAGTGTGACTAGGGGTCTGTTTTAGCTCGGCAGAGCAGGAGTGGCACCTCTGAGGAGACGGCATTCAAACTGATGGAATCTATTGAATAATTGGCTTAGTCTCCATAGATTTGCAATGCTACCTTTAAAAGATACTAGGAGCCAGCCCGGTGGCACAGTGGTTAAGTGTGCACGTTCCGCTTCAGCGGCCTGGGGTTCGCTGGTCTGGTCCTGTGTGTGGACCTATGCACTGCTTGTCAAGCCATGCTGTGGAGGTGTCCCACATATAAAGTAGAGGAAGATGGGCATGGATGTTAGCTCAGGGCTAATCTTCCTCAAAAAAACAAAACAAAACCAAAAAAAGATACTAAATTTCCATATGTATACATAAGTTTGTTTTTCTAAATTCTGTTCTATTGCTCTGTTTCTCTTGTAGTACCACATTTTTATTTGTTGTTTCAGAATTTGTTATTTCGTAAAGCAAATCCCCCCAGTTTTTCTTTTCAAAATTTTGGTTACTATTCTTATACATTATCTTTCTAGTTGGATTTTATTAACTATTATCACGTTCCAACAATTACAGTAAAAAAGAAGAAATATACAATTCTGATTTGAATGCCATTAATCTTTATGTCAGTTTGAGGAAGACTACCATCCTTACAATATTTATTCTTCCTAGTAAGTAACAAATTATTCATTTTATTCAAATCTTTAATTAGGACTTCTGTTAACTTTTTACAGACTGATCATGAGGATCTTGCATTTTCCTATTAAGTGCATTCTGAGGTGTTTCATTTTTTGTTGCCACTGTGATTGAACTATAACCATGATTGTGATTTTGTAAAAAAAAAAAAAAACTGGTTACTGAGAATTATATCTGAAGACATTTTGCTGCTGTGGTGCCTAAAATTTCATCACTATCATATCTTCTTTATAAATTATGCTTTCATCATTTAAAATACCCCATCTATTCCATTTGATACTCAACTTTTTTAAAGAAACAATATGGAAAAGCCTGTGTTTTTAGGTTTAAGAAAACCTCTGCATGAATGCAAGAAGACCCCCGAAGCTGTTTATTTTAAACACTGTGAGTTAGCCTGTGCTTAACGTAGTGCTGGGGAGAAAAAGACCCAGACTAAGTGGAAAGGAGAAAGAGAGAAAACTCTTAAGGGACTAACAACGAATACAGTTTCTGAGCGATATCGTTAAGTTTCACTACAGCCTTTTAAAATGTCTTTCTGCTCTTAGTCAGTCAGCTCCGCGGGCGTACGCGCAGCCTGTGCGGGGTCCACAGTGCGGGTCGCGATGGTGACGAGCTCTGGGGCGCACTCAGGGCTCTGCCTACGGTGATGAGAGTCTAGGGGGTGGGGAAGACCAGTGGATAGCAAATGGCAGTCTGAATTTGGGCTTTTAATTTTGCCTGATATGTTCAGCTAACAAGGCAATTTACTGAAAACAAATGGATTCATTTTTGGAAAGGGAATCTCATTATTTCTGATTTTTTATTTTCTTTCACAAAGCAGGGGCTTATGTTTGTTTCCTTCTATTCTACATGCATTCTACCGTGTCTGATGCTGGTTTGTTTCTACCCCACTGTCTTTTTATTTGCATGTGCTGTGTCTTGTCTCTGCCTTTTTTGGGGTAACTTTCTGGTTTGTGTTTTAGGTATATCTCTTTATGTACCATATAACTGGATTTTAAACCAATTTTAGAGTTTTTGTCTTTTAATAGAGAAAGTCAATCCATTTATGTTTGTTGTTATACATATATCAGGTCTTTTTCTGGTTATTTAATGTTTTATGGTTATTTTGCTGTCTTGTTTCCTTTCTTCTCCTTTGTTTACATTTGTTGAACTGATGATTTGTCTTGGTTCCTTTTTTCCTTTCATAAAATGGAAATTCTGCCATGTATTTATATCCTACTAGTAGCTACCTTTACTGTTCCTGACAATATTTGTCACTGAATTTTAACACTTTTTGTCATTTTGACATATTGATTAAATAAATATTAGGAAAAAATAATGAGGTAGAAAGAAAGATAATGAACTCTGTGCTTGAGTGTTGACACTTTTTCTCAGTCTGTAGCCAGTAGGATGTAAAACACACAAATTTGTTGGAAATTGTTTTGTTCTATTTCATCTCTTCAGTCCTTCTTTCTCCACTAATTTTCTCGCTTTTGCTTATTTACATATTAAAGTGCTCTCTGTCCTTAAATGAAAACCTTTTCCATTACTTTATTTCCATTACCCATTTCGTTCTTCTTTCCATACAGTCTTAGCTCTCATCTTTCCATGAAAAGTTTAAAGTAATTTCATCTGATTCCTTATCTTCCATTATTCTTTTGTCCACTGTAAGCTGACTTCTGCCCCCAGCACTCTGCTGAAATTAGCTAATTTTCAATCATTCTGTTTGACCCACTCTATCTTCAATGACTACTCCCCCCTTGAAACTCTCTGCTGACTTCAATCCTGAGCCTCCTTCCATCTCCCTTATTGTCCTTTTCTGACTCTCCTGCTTGCTGGGGATTCCAGGGTTCTTTCCCTGGCCGTCTCACAACAGTGGGAGTTGGATGGTCTTGGTTTCAAGTCCCAGCTGTGTGATCTTAGATAAGTTATTTAACCTTTTTTTTGAGGATCCCCAGATTCCTCATCTATAAAATGATTTTATTTAGTGCTCTCAATCTAGCAGGTTGTTGTATGGATTAAATGAGGTGAGGCATGTGAATCTCCTTTTAGTGAAAACTCAGTACAAATTTGAGTTATCATTCGTGGTGACCACCACTTAGTTATGTGTACCCTCCTTGTATTAGTCAGGGTTCTCCAGAGAAACAGAACCAATAGGATATATGTAGCTATAGAGGAAGAGATTTATTATGAGGGATTGGCTCACCCAGTTGTGGAGGTTGAAGGGTCCTCGCCATCTGCCATCTGCAGTCTAGAGGCCCAGGAGAGCCAGTGCTGTGGTTCCAGTCCAAACCCACAGGCCTGAGAACCAGGGGTGCCAGTGGTGTGAGTCCAGGTCAGAGTCGGAAGGCCTGAGAACCAGGAGAGCCAGTGGTGTGAGTCCTGGTCAGAGTCGGAAGGTCTGAGAACCAGGGACACCAGTGGTGTGAGTCCCGGTCAGAGTCAGAAGCCGTGAGAACCAGGGGTGCCAGTGGTGTGAGTCCCGGTCAGAGTCGGAAAGTCTGAGAACCAGGAGCACTGATGTCTAAGGGCAGGAGAAGAGGGCTCAGCTCAAGAAGAGAGAGCAAATCCACCCATCCTCGGGCTTTTTGTTGTATTTGGGCCCTCAACAGAATGGATGGTCCCTCCCACCATGGCGAGGGCTGATCTTTACTTAGTCTACTGATTCAAATGGGAACACCCTCACAGAAACACTCAGAAATAATGCCTTCCAGCATCTGGGCATCCCTTAGCCCAATCCAGTTGATGCATAAAATTAACTATCACACTCGTTAAACATATTGAATGCTTATGGTGTTTTATTTCCTAGTCTCAGGGCTAGAGAACAGGGCTGAAATGGGCTTATAAATTTGAAATGCCATTTTCGAGTCAAGCTGAGTGTTTTATTGGTCCTCACGTAGACCAGCCACATTCTGGACGTATCTTGTTGCACATGCTTTCCCCTTATTAACTGGGATTCCCACCTGTATTGTAAGGCTGGAAATTCCATGTGCTGCCTTGACATCTTTGAGCCTCACGGGCTCCAGAGACCTAGCTATGAGTTCTCCTGCTCCCTCCAGGTGACTCCCCATCAGCAGGAAAGGCTCCCCACCCAGCTAGCTTCCCTCATCAGCCCAACCAGGTGCACCCCTCCCAGCCCTCAACCTAACAGGTTTCACCTCCTTACCAGCCCACAAAATTGTCCAAAGAAACCACTCTCGTCTTCCCAGGGTGGTCAAGGTCACCTGACCCTCTTGTCAGCACAAAGCCGGCCTCCTAGCCCCTGCTGGGTCACACTGTCCCTGAGTGCAGCGCCCAGGAGCCCTGCATGGTATGCAGTGTCCTCCTCCCAGGCTCCCTGTGTATGTGACAATAAAGTGCTGTCAGTTTCATCTGTCCGGGGCCTGGTGCCATGTGTTCAGTTATCTTGTACTATTCAGGGTGGGGAGCCCCTCCCTCATCAGTGGGGTGACTAGCGGGGGATCAGAACACCACACTCTCTTCCCCAGCGGTCCTCCGGGGCAGCGCTCGGCACCTTTGCCTGTCACTCCCTTATCCTCCTCCTCCTATCCTTGAATGCCAAAGCACTTTCTGCAGTGTTATATTCATCACTGACTATTTCATGGTAATGTGTATTTTTGTTATATTTGTTATATATATTGTTTTGGTGTCTATTTTTAGTGTTTTGTTTCTTTTGGAGGTTACACATTTTTCTCACACAGATCTCTGTATCCTGTTTCTTCTAATGCTGCTTGTTTTTTCACTGCCCTCAGAGGATTTTATTGTCACAGTCCTTCGTTGAGCAGGAATTTATAGTTTCAGGAGTCAGTGACGTTCCAAGATGCGTCTGTGTGTTTCACCTGGGAGCAGTGGATTCCTCTCGACCCTGCTCAGAGGAGCCTGTGTGGGAAGTGACGCTGGAGATCTCCAGGGACCTGGCTTTGCTGGGTAAGGACTTCTTGTAACTCAAAACCTACGTACTGATATGTTTTCCCCCTGCTGACATCTTGTACAAGCTCTGAAATGCTTGCCTTTAGACTCGAAATCCCTGATCTTTCAGGGCACTGTTTTAGGGTCTTGGCTTGGTGTCCTCTCTTTCAGGGTGAGAGGGCTTTTCTCCCGAGCCTGGGAATGGGAAACTTCGGAGGCCACGCCTTCCTTTGCTCAGAAGCCCGAAAGGGGGAGGGATGAGGACTTGTGCTGGGGCTGGTTTGTATACTCAGATCAGAACACACATTTAGTGTCTTTTCTCCTGAGCAGGGCGTCAGCTTTCCAAACCAGATGTGATTTCCCAGCTGGAACGAGAAGAACTGAGCCTGATCACTAAAGAATTTCCAGGGTGTGTCTCTCCAGGTAACAAGTGTCAGGCTGCAAGGACTTGTTGCATGCGTGTGTCACCTTGGGGAGAAATCACTTCAGGGATCCCGGGTCTCTGGAGAGACCAGCACCGTTTGATGTGTATTGTCAGATGCCTCCGTGTTAGTGATGTCACCCGTCCTCCCTGGGTCTCGCGTGTCCTTACCTTGGAGGGAGGTCACACGTTATGAGGATTAAATGAGTTACTACCTTTGTAGCACCTACTTGTTGGGAACATAGTGAGCACTCAGGAGAGGCCAGCAGGTACTGTTGCCTCCGCCGTCTCCGTCTGTACTTTGAATCCCTTCTGTCTCATCCCGGCCTTTCCTCGCTTTGACGAGTCACCAGCTGTAACCTGCATCCAGAGCTTCGGCCCCGCCTTCATTCAAACCATCGTTTCTTCCTCTGCAGCCTATAGGTGTTTTAAAAGTCATTTAAAAACAAATGAAGAATGACTGCAGCCTCGTTATTTTTATTAATAACCTCACGTTCTATATATTTCCTTTCTCATTCCCAAGTTTTTAATCCACATCTACTGCTTATTCAACCCTATTCTCCTCTAAATTTTAATGCTTCTTCATCTTTATCTGGTTTCTAATCTCCATCACAACTGAAATTTCTCTGAGATGTTATCAGTGACTTTTCTCTGAAAAAATGCCTCTTACACCTTTATCTTCTCTACTTTGTGGGAAAGCGTTGATCACCACTTCTTTTTATGTATTTTTTTAAAATTAAAGACATTGGCAAATATTTATTTGATTTGTGGATAGTGAATGGCTATCTAAGTATAAAGCAATAAAAGAAATAAGTAAAAGAACATATTGATAGGAAAAAATAATCTGATGAACATCGCTGCTGGTTTCCAGTAAGCTTTCTAAAGAACAAGGTTCTAGGAGAAGAATCACCAGGTCAAAAGATATACATATTTTTGTGGCTCTTGCTACATATTTTCCAACTTTGGATGTTATCTGTTTCTTAATGCTGGTTTATTAGGTATAAAATAATCCCTTCGGCAGCCTTAATTGCCTTTATTACAGATTTCTATGGATTTGATTACTATTGCTATTTGTATTTATTCTTATGTAAATAACCTATTTATTCAACAAATATTTTTTGAGCACCAGGCCCTATTTCTAGCACTGGGGATACAGCAATAAGCAAACAGGCAGAGTTTCCCTGTGGAGCTTAAAGCCTAGTAGGGGAGACAATAAAGAAAGAAAGAAGGCAGGGAGGGAGAAGGCAAAGTCGAGGAAGGAGGAAGGAGGGAATGAGCATTGGAGAGAGAGTGCTGTGTAGAGAGACAAGCAGCGTGCGGGGGGCGTGGGCGGGGCCAGGGTGCGGTTCCACAGGCCGTCAGGCAAGGCCTCTCCTCTAGGCGCCTGCTGAACAGACACTCCATAGAGACAGAGGTCACGTGGGAGGACATTCTGGGCACAGGGAACAGACCCTGCAGTGGATTGCATGGCACTGTTTGAAGGGAGGAGTGTGAGATGTGAAGATTTCCTGAAACTCTGTCTTTCAGTCCTTCTGTGAAAAAATGTATTTCTACCAGCATATGTTTTTTATTTCTATGAATCTTCCCATTATCTAAGTCCCTTCTTTTTAATGCACGCATTAACTTCTCTGTATGAGGATATTTAAGTAATTTTGGTTGGGGTTTTGGGGAATGTGTATGCAGCATTTTTTTCCTTGTTCCCTAGATTTTATTGTGTTTATTTATGGCTTTTTCATTACCCCATGCTATTCTGGTGGGTTTTCTGGAGGCAGCAGAGTCAAATACATATATTCCTGACCCTGTTTCCTCTCCCACTTCTTCACTCCTCTGCAGACTTCTCCACTGAGCTATGTCCTAAAGATTCTTCATCTGTTTGTGACCACATTTCACACTATTTTCCTTAGCTCTTTGAATGTCTGTCTAGCCACTAGTATGTAGGCTCACTGAATTGTCATGATTGAGCTTACTTTTCTTTATAGCCTCTGCCTAGCACATTGCCTGCCAGAGTAGATATTTAATACGTTTGTTGAGTGAATATTGAATGACATCAAGTAGAATTTTTAGAAATCAGGTGAAAATACAGCTTTGAGGGTTGTAGTCATATCTGTGACAGTCGTATCAGTGAGTGTTAGATGAGCATCAGAAGGAGAGAGTGAGAAGGGCAAAGCAGCACCTGAAGAGCAAGAACATCTGGTTGGAGGCCAAAGATGTCCTGGCAAGGTGACAGAAAGACTGGTCAGAGGAGGAGGGGAGAACTTAGGGAGAGCTGGGCTGAGGGAAGAGAGAAAAGCAGAGGGAGAGAGCAACAGTGCCAAGTAAGAAGTGAAAAGTGCCATTGGCCTTAGTGACAAGGAAGCCACCTGTGACCAGGGAACTGTGCTGTGGGTAGAAAAGCGAAGGGGAAACAGACAACTAGAGACTTTGAAAGACAGACTGGCGTTTCAACAGGATTAGCCTGAAGGAAAAGGAAGAAAGGGCGAGAACTGAGAGAAGTCAGAGGTAGAGTGCTTCTGCCAGAAGGAGACCTGAATGTCGTCACAAGAGCAGAGAGGTGTCTGGTAGAGGGGGAAACTGGAGACACAACGAAGTGGAGGGGCATGGAGCCCAGAAAACACGAGCATGTGCCAACTCTGGATCTCGTTCTTTCCAGATTTTCTTTCATGTTACTACCAGACTAATCTACCATTTAGTCGTCTTATTATCCTATCCAAAACCAAGACGAGAGAGCATTGACTGCGTGCTGTGCCCAGCTCTTCCCAGGCCTCACCTGATGTGCTCATCTCAGCAACCCCGAGGGGCAGCACTGTCAGCCCCTTCCCAGGCAGAGAAGGCGCTCAGGGAGGTGGTGGGACAGGCCAGAATGGGAACACAGCCGTTTTGTTTTGTTTTCTTTCTATCTGTCTTTGATTTTAATGCTAATTTTTTTAAAAATCATAACTTTCCTTGCCTTGCTATGACTTTTTTTTTATTGAGGTAACATTGGTTTATAACATTATATAAATTTCAGGTGTACGTCATTATATTTTGATTTCTACATAGGTTACATCAGGTTCACCACCAAAGACTAATTACATCCATCACCACACTCATGTGCCTAATCACCCATTTTGCCCTCCTCCCTCCACATTTGCTGTGACTTCTTATTTCCTAGTCTATCTAGTAAAAATAGAACTTCTGCATCCTGGCCTAATTTTCTTTTCAGCATCATTGTCTTCTTTTTCTGTACTAAAGTGTTTGTGTGGATAGCAATTGAATGTTTCATTAGATTCTGCTATTTTATAAAAGATGAGTAGAAAATGTAAAGACAGAGGTGCTGTTCCTAGTGACAGTGTTACACTAGTCACCGTGTTAATGCAGAAACAGAGAGGGAAGTTATTAGTAATGTGAAAAGCAGTGAATTTTTGTTTGGGGGGGTTTTAATGCTTCTTTATTTTTTTATTGAGTTCATAATAGTTTACATCAATGTGAGATTTCAGTTGTACATTATTTCTTGTCTGTCACCACATAAGTGCTCCCCATCACCCCCTGTGCCCACCCCCCACCCCCCACCCCCCTTCCCCTGGTAACCACTGAACTGTTTTCTTTGTCCATGTGTTTGTTTATATTCCACATATGAGTGAAATCATCTGGTGTTTGTCTTTCTCAGTCTGGCTTATTTCGCTTAGCATAATTCCCTCCAGGTCCTTCCATGTTGTTGCAAATGGGATGATTTTGTCTTTTTTTCTGGCTGAGTAGTGTTCCATTGTATGTATATACCACATTTTCTTTATCTAATTATCAGTCCATGGGCACTTGGCTTGTTTCCATGTCTTGGCTATTGTGAATAGTGCTGCAATGAACATAGGGGTGCATGTGTTACTTTGGATTGTTGATTTCAAATTCTTTGGGTAGATACACGGTAGTGGGATAGCTGGGTCATATGGTAGTTCTGTTTTTAGTTTTTTGAGGAATCTCCATACTGTTTTCCACAGTGGCTGTACCAGTTTGCATTCCCATCAACAGTGTATGAGGGTTCCCTTTTCTCCACACCCTCTCCAACATTTATCTTTAGTCTTAGAGATTATAGCCACCTTAACAGGCGTAAGTGGTATCTTAGTGTAGTTTTAATTTGCATTTCTCTGGTGATTAGTGATGTTGAACATCTTTTCATGTGTTTATTGGCCATCTGTAGATCTTCTTTGGGAAAATGTCTGTTCATATCCTCTGCCCATTTTTTGATCAGGCTGTTTGTTTTTTTGTTGTTCAGTTGTGTGAGTTCCTTATATATTATGGAGATTTAACCCCTTATTGGATGTATGATTTGCAAATATTTTCTCCCAATTGTTGGGTTGTCTTTTTGTTTTGATCCTAGTTTCTTATGCCTTGCAGAAGCTCTTTAGTCTGATGAAGTCCCACTTGTTTATTTTTTCTTTTGTTTCACTTGTCTGAGAAGACATGGTATTTGAAAAGATCCTTTTAAGTTTGATGTCAATGAGTGTACTACCTATATTATCTTCCAGGATGCTGCCTTCTGGCTGCATCCTCACGTGGTAGAGAGTAAAGAGGAAGCAAGCTCTCTCATCCCTTCTCATAAAGGCACTAAGGGTCCCCCCCTCATGACCTCTCAGGTCCCACCTCTTAGATTAGGTCCCACCTAATCCCAGTGGGGATTAGGCTTCAACATAGGAATTTTGGGAAGACACAAACACCAAGTCCATAACATTCACTGTTGTCAGTTATTCCATTGTATAAACATTTCACAATTTAATTCTATTGTTGATGGATATTTGGGTTGTTTCCAATTTTTTGCTATTGTACACAATGCTACTTTTAAAATTATGAATCATGGTATACCTTTACAAGGCAGATTTACCTAGATGTATATACCTTTTAGTAGACTTGCCAAACCATTCAGGTTCCCTTTTCTTCAGTCCTTTCAAGACCTCTGCCCCCTTTTCTGGTGGGCTTAGTGTTCCAGAGATACTGTTTCTAAGTCTAGTTCTAGTTCTTTGTGGGTCATGTGTTGCAAATATCTTTTCCCAGTATGTGACCTTTTTTTTTTTTTACTTTCTTTATGATGTCTTTTGATGATTGGAAGCATTTAATTATACTTCCAAGGTTTATTCTCCCTTTTAGTTTTTATGCTTCTTTTTTCTTCTCATTCTCCTGTTTTTATTATTTTAAAATTTCATTTCTTGGGGCTGGCCCAGTGGTGCAGCGGTTAAGTGCACACGTTCTGCTTTGGCAGCCTGGGGTTCGCCAGTTCAGATCCTGGGTGTGGACATGGCACCGCTTGTCAAGCCATGCTGTGGCAGGCGTCCCACATATAAAGTAGAGGAAGATGGGCACAGATGTTAGCTCAGGGCCAGTCTTCCTCAGCAAAAAGAGGAGGATTGGCAGCAGATGTTAGCTCAGGGCTAATCTTCCTCAAAAAAAAAATTATTTCTTAAACTTCTACATAGTTTCCAAACTTGATTATTTTCTCTGTATCATTTATCTTTGAGTGGAGGGAGTTCTGCATGGGCTTTTTATTTGTCTAACCATGTGAATGGATCCCCTTTGCCCTTTATGTTGTTTACTGGGTAGCACTTTGAATGTTCTCAAAGAACTTTAGCTGGCTTGCTGGATGTGCTGATGGAGGGCAGTGGCCGCCTCTGGTTCCTGTGCTCCCTGTTGTTCTCGTACTTGACCGGATGGGTGCTTTCTGAGGTCACTGGGTGGTGTGTGTGTGTTTTGGAGGTGGGGCCTCCTTGGCTTGCCACTGTTTCTCCTCCTCTGTGGAAGCAGCTCAGGCTGCAAGGAGGAGGTCCAGTTGACGCACACCTCTTATTCACAGCAAAGCCTCCTGCCCTCAAGCCTTTGGTTTGCTGGCTCCGTGTTGATCTCGGCTCTGTTGACTTTGATCAAGCTGACAAGCTGATTCGCAGACTGTAGTTTCCTGTCCTCTGCCTCTCACTGCCTCCAGGCCATTTTGTCTGGGATAACAAATGGGATCTGAAAAAATAAAGTCTGAGTGGCTACAAGGTCCTTCCGTCAGCGTCCCCTCAAGCAGTTCAACAGATTCTCCCTTGCCTGTCCCTGCCACCAGTTCTCATCTTTAAGGAGTAGATATTTAGGAAAGGGTAGGACGCTTTAGGACTCTCGTTTGTGAGAAAATTACAGCCTGCAAAGTTTGCAGGGGAAAGCTATTTACATTGTCATCCTCCCACACGAGTTTAAGTTTCAAGTATGTTCTGGCATTTTATGATCCAGACAAGTATGTTCCTGAAGGGTAGTTTATATACATTGTCTTACTTAATCCTTATCAGATTATTTTTATCCTTATTTTATATCTGAAAACTCAGACCCAGAGAAACAAGAAACTAGTGAAGATGTAAGTGTGAAACAAGTAACTAGTGAAAATTATCTCATTTAATACATTATCTTACTTAATCCTTATCAGATTATCTTTATCCTCATTTTATATCCGAAAACTCAAAACTAGAGAAACAAGTAACTAGTGCAGATATAAGTTGTGAACACAGCCAGGGTTTGAACCCATTTGTCTGACTCCAGGGTCCACAGTCCTTTCACTGTGTCACACTGGGATGTTTTACGAAGAGTTAGTGTCAGGATTACAGGCAGCAGCGTAGGAGGGGTGATGGCGAGTGCCAGGGCCTCCGGATCTGCCTCTGCCAACCCAGCTTATGAGTATTTGCCCTAGTGCCATCTTCGTTCTTTAGTCTTGTCCCGCGGTCAGTGACTTCAGTGTCTGTCCCTCCTCCAGAGGCTCACTGTTCTGCTTACCCTGTGTCTGGTTCCCGTATTATTTATAACTGGTTCACTGTTCTTTTGTCCCAGCTCAGTTTCCCTCCCTTCCAGTTCTATTCCTAATTGTAGGAACATCTTTGAAAGCTCTCAAATGTCCCTATGGTTATTCTCAGTTTTATTCTCTAATTCCCACCTTTTCAGTTTTCAGTCTCCCAGCTCAGAAACCAATGTGCATTTGAATTGTTTATTTTTTTCAGACTGGGAGACAACACTTGAAACCAGAGAGTCAACTGCAGAGCCAGCGTTACTGAAGATTTATCCTATGGGTAATAATGGAAAGGGAAGGTCTCTGGCATTCTTCCTTAGGGGAAACCTGGGAACCTGATAATTGGTTAGAGGGGCAACAGAAAAACCAGGATAGACATCTGGGCCAAGTGGCAGTTCCCCATAAGGAAACCCCCACTGAGAGGAGGGTCTGTAGAGGTAATGAATTTGAAAGATATTCCAGTCAGGGTTCAGTCCTTGATACACAACAAAGTATTCCTAGGGGAGAAAGGCCCCATAATCAGAATTCATATGGAAAAGACACTAAACAAAATTCTGAATTAATTAAAACTCAAAGAATGTTTGTAGGAAAGAAAATCTATGAATGTAATCAATGTGGAAAAACCTTCAGTCAGAGCTCATCCCTTCTTAAGCACCAGAGGATTCATACTGGGGAGAAACCCTATAAGTGTGATATATGTGGGAAGCACTTCATTGAACGCTCCTCCCTTACTGTACACCAAAGAATTCACACTGGAGAGAAACCCTACAGATGTAATGAATGTGGGAAAACCTTCAGTCAGAGCATGAACCTAACTGTTCATCAAAGAACTCATACTGGAGAGAAACCCTATCAGTGTAAAGAATGTGGAAAATCTTTCCGCAAGAATTCATCCCTTATTCAACATGAAAGGATTCATACTGGAGAGAAACCCTACAAATGTAATGAATGTGGGAAAGCTTTTACCCAAAGCATGAATCTCACAGTGCATCAAAGAACTCACACAGGAGAAAAACCCTATGAATGTAATGAATGTGGAAAAGCCTTCAGTCAGAGTATGCATCTTATTGTCCATCAGAGAAGTCACACTGGAGAAAAACCCTATGAGTGTGGTGAATGTGGAAAAGCCTTTAGTAAGAGCTCAACTCTTACCCTGCATCAGCGAAATCACACTGGAGAAAAGCCGTACAGATGTAACAAATGTGGAAAATCCTTTAGCCAAAGTACATATTTAATAGAACATCAGAGACTTCATTCTGGGGTAAAACCTTTTGAATGTAATCAGTGTGGGAAAGCTTTCAGTAAGAATTCATCTCTTACTCAACATCGGAGGATCCATACTGGAGAGAAACCATATGAGTGTATGGTATGTGGAAAACATTTCACTGGGCGATCATCCCTTACTGTACATCAGGTTATTCATACTGGAGAGAAACCTTATGAATGCAATGAATGTGGAAAGGCCTTCAGCCAGAGCGCATACCTTATTGAGCATCAAAGAATTCATACTGGTGAGAAACCCTATGAATGTGATCGATGTGGAAAAGCCTTCATTAAGAATTCATCTCTTATAGTGCATCAGAGAACTCATACAGGAGAGAAACCCTATCAGTGTAATGAATGTGGAAAAGCCTTCAGTCGGAGTACAAACCTTACACGACATCAGAGAACTCATACGTGAGGAAAGTTTTCATTGGACCCATGATTAACTCTTCAGTGATAATCAGATAAATCATGTAATGCAGAAACCTACTAAATGTAATGGTGTAGAAATCTTTCAGTTCAAGTATACCTTCCAGATACTACAGACCATCACAGAGAAACCATATCAAAGTGGAGAAATCTTGATTCTGAAAGTGAAACTCACTTTATATCAGAAAGTTTAAGTAGCTAATGTTCTAAACGAGGAGGATTCGCACTGAAGATAAGCTCCGTTGTAGCATGCTGCAGATTCTCCTTTGGACGTCAGAGACTTCACACTGGACAGCATGTGAGGGTGCTCAGCTGGACAGCCCAAAGACCTGGTACGTAGTCCTGACCTGCCACTCACTTGCACAAGTCACCTTTCACCAGGTCACAGTTTTCTTTTCTGGTAAATGAGAGATTTGAGACTTAGAAGGTCTCCAGGATCCATTTTAGCTGTAACATGCTACAGACCTATAAATGTAATGAATGCTAGGAGATCTTTGATCTTTTACCATGTTATATACATTATCTAGATGCTCCTGTTCCACAGTCTGGTTTCCCTGGATGTTCTGAGACAAAATTCTCTACCTCTGCCAAATCCTATTATCCCCCCGTCCCTCCCCCTCCCCCTGCATTGTTATTTTCTCCCCTAAATATAGGCTGGTTGCTACCAGGTGATGGAACAATTGTACATATCTTAATGCAATAGCATGGTGTTCTGAGTTCTCAATTAATATAGTCATTAAACTGTTTAAATAAGCTAATTATTTAGAAAACAGTATAAATTAAATGTAGTCTTTAAGTACACAGGATTCAAAATACTTATCTCTGTATCAAACTCTTGAAGTGGAAAGGAGAAGAGTGAGGCTGAACGCTAACAGATGTGAAAATTTGAACTAGGAACAAAATCTCTGCAACTCAGAACATATTCAGACAATCATAGGGAGATCTTGTAGATCTATAGTTATGATAGGAAAGACAATTTCGTTTATTTCACATTTAATAAGTGCTAAATATGCACTAGACATGATTAGAAAATCAAAATGAATACGATGTATTCTTTGTTTTCCAAGGGCTAACCTAAGAAATTGGCAGTAGGATGGGAGAGGAAAGGAAGAATTCAAGCAATAATGAGGCAGAATCTACATAAGGTGGTAACTGATTAAATATGGGCACCTGAATTTCTTATTTGAGGGGAAAGGGGGTGCCCTAATTAAAAACACGTGAAGTTGACCAGTTGGGTGGAGCAATGATGAGTTCATTTTGGGGGCATTTTGCTGAGTTATGGATATCCTAGCGAAGTCTCCTGACGAGCAGTAGACTAAGTAGAAGGGCAGTGATAAAGGGCCCCTGGGAGGACTGTCATTGACCAGGCAAGTGGAGGAAGTGGAGGCCCTAGAAGCTGAGAGGAAACAACAGCCAAAGGAGAGAAAAATCAGGAGAAGGGGGTGGCACACAACTAAAAGGAGAATTTTAGCGTAGGGATAGGAATGGTTACTGTTTTCAAATCCTAGAGGGTTAAAGTAAGGTAAAAACAGAAATACAGCCTTTGGTTTGGGTTATTGATACCCTCTGTAAATTTTAGTGGGCCACAGAGTGAGTTCAAGGTTGAAAAGGACTTAGTAGCTTGACTGAGAAAGAAGAAATTTAGAAAGATAACTGGAGGGAGATTGGGGTTGAGAGAGGGTCTAGAGATTAGAAGAGCTTTGGGCTACAAATAATAGGAAGCCCAGTTAACAATGGCTTACAAGCAAATAGGGATTTATTTTTCTCGCATAACAAAACTGGCGGTGGTTGGCATTGGTTCAGAGACCAAATAGTTTAGTGCCTTGCTTTCCATCGTGGTCATGTGATGGCTGCCACAGCTCCAGAAAGTATCTGCATTCAAGGCAGGAAGAAAGTGGGTGGCTAGCACCTGCAACATCTGCCTTTTATCAGAAAAGCTTTCCCAGAAGCCCCTCAGCAGACTTCTCCTTCCATCTCATTGACCACAGCTGTGTTACCTAGAGGCTGGTAGCAAAAGGGGCTGGGAACGTAAGTGTTTAGCTCTTCTAGCCTCTATGGTAGAGGTAAGCAAAGAAAAGGAGGGTTCGAGAATGGGGCTGATGTAGCCAACCAACAATCCGCCAGTGTGTGTGTGATTTAAGGTAGAAGAATTGAGCATGTTTATCACTGAAAAGAAGAGGCGTAAGAGAGTCTGAAGGTGCAACAAGGAAGGGATGGGCAGCTCAAAGTGGGAAAATAAGATCTGGGGCACAGGAGGAGGCCATAGGAATCTATTTCACTAGGAGGAAGGAAACTTTCCACTGGGCGAGATGGGAATCAACGATGGGTGCAGAAGATGTTGTGGGTGGCAGTGGGGAGGTTCCCTATGGACCCGGAGTGTTTGGACCTTGAGCAGTTCAATCTCTTTGGGCAAGGGGACCTTTAAGGTCTACCTCTTGGAGTTAGAACAGGCAAGGACAAAGGGGAATGAAACACTGAATTAATTGTATCCTCAGAAACTTAGGTTTTTAATAATGTGTCCCCTTACACCCAGTTTCTTCCTTTCCCTTATTTCTTTTTCTTGTTTCGCACCTGATCTCAAAAGATACAAATGGAAGGGAAGAGGAAAGGGGACAGAGAGATTGGTAGACCATAGATGAAAATGGTAAAGACAGCAGCAAAATAAAGGCTCAAAAGGAAGGCACAGGACAAGAGGGGGAGGAAGAATGAAGTGTATTGAAGCCTAAGATGGATGCAATAACTCAGAATTGGTAAAATATTAATCTTAGAGGTTGCACCAGAAGAAATGGGTCAGATAAATGAAGGTTTAACTACTTTTTCCAGGCGCTTTGGAAGCCTTCAGCCCTTGTATGTCAGTTCCCAGGCGTCCTGGGCAGGAAGGAGGGAACAACTTTTGGGCTGCTCCTCTACCGGCAGGGGCAGGACTCCTGGTTCTGCTTACTAGACATGAGGCCTTAGGCAAGGCACTTAACATATCAGGGCCTCAGCTTTCTTATTTGTTAATAGTGCAAACCTCATAGCTTTGGATTATGTTCAATACTAATGTAAAGTGCTTATAAAAGTGCCCAGTAGATATCTAGGTAGTGGTCAGTAAATGTTACATTATCACCCTCATATACCTGAAAATGGAATATCAAAACTTAGCATGCCATCCAGAACCCTTAATTATCTTAGAATCACTAGGTTCTCAAAGCAGATGCCTTGTAGAAAGCTTGTATAATTGTGGCAGGCTGTCCCTTGCCTGGGTGGCCGTAGTAGCCTCCTAACTGGCTTTCCTGGATCCCTTGTAGCCCAGCCAGCATCTGTCTCCACAGCTGACCAGTGACTCTGTCAGGATGTGCTCAGCCATGTGGCTCTTGCTCAAACCCCTTCAACAGCTTCCCATCACACACAGAGTAAACCCCAAGTTTCTATGATGGCCTTCAAGGCCCCTAGTTACCTTCCTACCTCATCTCCCACTGCCTTGTTCCCCATGCCATCTCCACTCATACTGGCCTTGCTGAGCCTCGAACTCGCCAGGCACACGTCTATCTCTGGACAGCATTTCTGTCCCCTTCCCTTTAGAGGCTCTTCCTAGATGTTCACATGGCTTCCCCCACTGTCTTCAAATCTCTGCTCAGATGTTACCTCCTGAAAGAGAACTTCCCAGCCCCATCCTCTAAACCTTGACACAGCTTCACTGTGTCAGCACTACCTGATACATATTTTCTGTTTCTTATTGACCACCTCCCCGAGTGGAATTAAACCTGCACAAGTGCCGGGTTTTCTCTGCTATTTCTCCAGCCCCCAGAACAGAGCCTGACACATGATGCTCCCAAGTGTCTACAGGATAAAATTTTCAATGAAACGCAAACAAGATGCCCTAGTGTCAGGCAGGGCCACTGACACTGCTTCCTAAGAGGCGACCAACAGTGACCTGACAAGCCTCAGGCACTTTTCTTGGCTATTTTTCCACCACTGACAAAGTTAAAACCCTCTCATCGCTCCTTCCTGAGCTCCATGAAAACGGGTGTTCAAAGGCAACGAGTAGCTCCCGTCGCCTGTTTCTATCTATCGCTTCACCCTTGCCCGACCTGCAGAAGACTGTCCGCAAACGGAGGACCACCTCCTCCTGCCCCGCAGTAGGGGAAGAGGGGGCCCCTGGGCATCCGAGCTCCTCCGCCCGGGAAGGCGCCGAGAGGCGCGCGCTCAGCCCCCCGCCCCCGCCGGCCCCGCCGCGCCCCCCGGCCGACCCTCCCCTGCGCGGTATCGTTTGCGCCCGCGGGGCCGAGGCGCGGTCCTCTGTGAGGAAGCGGCCTTGTCGGCTTGTGGCCTCCTACTCCGTCCTCGGGGGCCTTCCCCGACCCGCTCTCGTCAGCGGCTCAGGCGCTGCTTCCCCGGAATAACCTCTCCCATTCCCGTGCTCAACTTTTCTCTAGTCTCTATGTCCTTGGGCATTTTTTCAAGGCACACAGCGATTCCAACTCTCACCAGAACGGAACCAAATCGGCACATGCGGGTTAGCGCGCAGGGAGTCATCGGCAGGAGGAACGGCGACCCCCGCCGAGGCCTCTGGGAAACGTAGTTTCAGCCCCGAAAACCACTAGACCTGGGGTAGGGGGCTGAAGGGCAGGGCCTTATCTGCGCAGGCGCGCAATGTTGTTCTCGGCCCGGCGCTGGTGCAGGAGCTCGTGGCCAATTCGCCTTCTGGAAACAGGAGTCTGGGAAGTAGAAGTGCTGCCCCCCTCGGACTTGTGGGGATTCAGCTCTGCGGTTCCCAGGGCAACGCGCAAGCGCAGTTCAGACCCCGGCTGCAGACTCCAGCTCATTGTGTTCTGCCTGCGATGTGGCGGTTGCGGTCTTTTGCCGCCTGCACAGGTTCCTCGAAGGGCAACTCAGTGGTGACCAGGCACGGTGGCCACAGCCGCATGGGAGAGCGGGAGCGGCGGTGCAGTGGTCGGGCCCGGGGACAGGGAAAAGGGAAAGCCGAGCAGGTCTGGGTTGTGGTCCGTTCTGGAGGACGCTGATCTGATGCCCCAAACTTCCCGGGATGTATGGCTGAGGTTTGCTTCCAAAGAGAAGGAGGGAGGACGGCCAGGTGTGGGCTCTCGGGTTTAGAGTACGAACCTGCGAGTGCATGTGGAGGAGGATGCGGTCAGGGCCTCTGGCGTGTGTCTTGGAGCCGACGACGGGTAGCCCGTTTATGCTCCGGGAATACATGCCCCGGTAGGATTCGGAGCCCTGTATGCGGGACTCGCGGGCCGGGGCAGCGCTGGGTAGCCTGTGCAGCCGCTCCCCGGGGACCTGGCAGAGGGCAGGACGGGAGGTTGCGTGGATTAGATTGCTAGCCCCCCACCCCCTCAACAAATACACTGCTTCTCGCCCACCTTTGACTCTAGGTCATCCAAACTGGGCCCCAGAGGGGGAGAGGCCTGAGGCCAGACAAGGGCTTGGCCTGAGAGAGGTGGGCAATGAAGATCCAGCCTTCCTAGCTTCCTTTTTGAGAAAGAAGACGACCCTCCTTCCCCACTTCCTCCCCTCCCCTGCCCTCCCAGGATTAGGCAGCTGTCCAGGCAGGAGACACACTTCTCTTGAGACCTCTCAGCATAACTTAAGGGCGAAGGCCAGAAGGTGGGTAGAAAGCATGAGAACTGGGGCTGGAGGGTGGCTTTGGCCAGGAGAAGTCAATGTATTTAAGATAGAAAAGGAGGATTTGTCTCCGATGCTAGGGGAAAGATGTGGGGGGAAAGTAGTAGCATAGTGAGTGAGTCCCTTTACAGTGGAGGTGAGCAGAAATACCCTCCGAAGAAAGAGAGAATTGGGAGCAAAGAGGGACGAAGAATTCACTGCTTGGGATATTGGACGCCTCCCAGGATATGAATGCTCACAGCATTGCTCTGGACTGCTGTGTACTATCTTTTGATCCAGTCCTCTCCTCAAAGTTTCCAGCCTGAGGAGCCCTGCTCTCCTTGTCCTTAAACGGGCTCATCAGAGAAGAAGGAATGGCAGTCAGCCGCCTGCCAACCATGGCCCAGGTGAGTGGGGATTTGCTATGGGGTCCCTCCAGATTGCCTGAGAAGATTTGAATCTGGAGGTTTGAAGAGTGTGAGCATGTTTCTTTCCCTGACCAGGAGCTTTTCTCCCAATCCAGTCTCGCTCAGAGGCTGACCCAGTTGCTCCCCGCCCCCCACCATATTGAGCTTGTCCCAGTGGATGTTGGAGCTAAGTATCCTGCTAAAGGTATTGTCAGTGACACAACAGGAACTGGAGCCCACGTTGGTCCAAAATGGAAACCTGTACTCTTTCCACTGGCAAGTAAGATTAGGGTTGTAAAGCAGTAAAGGCAGTGCCTGACATAGGAGTTGAGAGAAGAGAGGAATTCTGACACTTTCTTGGGGAGGTGGGGTTGACTGCACTCTTTTTTAAAATGACATTTGGCTTTTTACTCCAGAGGAATTTTAGGTACCAATGAAATCGTTCAAATGGTTTGTTTTCAATTTCAGTAAATTACTAAAAAGCTTTGAGCAGTGCCAGCCTGTTTAGAGTAAGAGTGTGGACTCCACTTTGAAGGAGATAGCATTTGAATGTATGAATTCTGATGAATTTGGTAAAATTATCTAATTCCTTCACATTTAAGCCTGTCCAGGACAGGAATCTGTGGCAGAAATCGTTGGAAGGGGTGAGCAGCCAGTTGAGGGTGCTGTGTTCAACCCAGTGGCAGCTCACTGGCTGCTCACCCTCCTCCTCCTGGTTTCTGACTTGTTCTTTAGGACTCATCCTAGGCACCACTTTTTCTGTGAACCCTGTCCGCACGATGCCAGTCCACTGTGAAATTTCCGTGCCCTAGCCTTTTCCTCAAACTCGTTGGTGTCACACATTTATCTCCTGTTTACAGGCTGCCTTGATTTGGTTGCCATTCAGCAGACCTCTTTCAGGGATGTAAAACGTGCCGGGTGCTGTGATCCGTGCAGGTGATACAAAGGTGGACAGTGGTCCCTGGCAAACTGGTTCATGGGTTGAATCCAGTAAGTGTTTCTTGGTTGCCTACTTTGTGCAAGGCTCTGGGTGCAGGTGATAGAAACCCAGCTCAGACTGTCTTAAGCAAAAGTAGGCTTTTCTTGGAAGGGTACTGGTATATCTCCCACGTATTTTTCCAAAGGCAAAGATGCAATTGGATTTTGGCTATGGAAATGGAGTCTAGAATAACCTAAAAGTCCTTTCTCTTGGACCCTTGGCTTTCTTCTCTGGGCTTCTGCTTAACTCTTCTTTCTCAGTGCACAGCAGCTCCCTTGGCCTCTCAGGCATTAGTTTCCAAGGACGGCGCTAGTTGTGATCAGAGAGAGAGGCAAGGTCACATTGCCCAGAACGACTGTTTCCATGGGAACCGTGTATGTGTGTTGGGGGTGAGCAGGTGAGCAACTGAAAGAAGCAGGAGTTGCTGAGCAACAAATAATAGGTGCTAGGTGCACACGCCATGTTCTGGAAGACATGCTGGGGAGAAGGGAGATGTGGAGACAGTCACAGCTTCCTGGAGTTCACAGTCCAAGGGAACGGAAAGCTCACATCAAGTGGGACCGAGCGTTGATGGACCTGCACAGGTGATGGGAGCAGTCGAGGAAGGCCGTGCTGAGAAAGTAATGTCTAAGCCGAGACCTGCGGAGGGTTTGGTCATAGGGGTGGGGGTGGAGGCAGGGCTGGGCACATTGAGGGAGATGGGAGAAAACGTTTTGTCAAAATGAACAGCAGGTATGAAGTCCCAGTGCTGAGGAAACATGTTTTCTCCATGACATATGTTTCTTCAAGGTGGAGAACAAGGTCTAATAAAACCTCGGCCCCTAGGAGACCCTGAGGAAGTGCTTGCCTTGTCACAGAACGCCAGGCCCCCTATGCTAACGTCCTGCAGATCTCAAGTGGCCCCCGGGGCCCAGGGTCCCAGCATTCCCAGAGAGCCCCGTGAAGGGTAGCCGCTGGTGAACAGGGGCGGGTTTCCTGTTACAGGAATCGGTGACCTTCAAGGATGTGGCCGTGCTCTTCACCTGGGACGAGTGGGCGCAGCTGAGCCCTGCTCAGAGGGCCCTGCACAGGGAGGTGATGCTGGAGAACTACAGCACCCTGGTCTCGCTGGGTAAGGGGCAGCCTCTGAAGGCTGATCTTCACATCTGGACGTTGCTCTGGGACCCTTCAACTGGTTACATGTGAAAGGTTGGGCTGGAGTGGGCTGACCGAGGATGTCGTCTTCAGGGCCACTGCCTGCCTATCCTTGGTGACTCTTGGAGTCTCAGTGCAGATGCCTCACAGGGGACTAGGGGTCGAATCCTCCTCCCTTCTGGCGGGGAGAAAGACATGGGAACAGATTGCTTGTGTCAGGCCTGAGCCATCTTTGCCTCCTGGGAACTCGTCTCTACCCTGGGCCTTCCTGTTATGTCACCTTTTCCAGGAAGTTTAGAGGACCAGATCTCATCCTTGCACTGATTTTCTCTCTGGTGTGAACAGATATGGTCCATTTTTTTCCTTTAAAAACAGGACTCTTAGGACCTGAACCAGATATGCTTTCACAGCTGGGAAAAGGGGGAGTTTGGATGCCAGAGGACGCCTCGAGATGCCTCTGTCTTGGTAAGAACCCTGCGTCCGGGAGGCATCGGGAGGAACTCGGCAAGTGCGCTAGGCTTGTGGAGTGAGAAGGAGTATCTTTTCCCGTGTTCACCTCAATACCGTGTTGCCCCATTTGTCCCTGTGTGCATGTGGCACTCCTTTTATGTGGCAGTTTGTCCCTCCCTGGACCCTCCTCTGCATGATTTTTCTTCTCTCCTTATTGGGCATAGGTTAATACTCTGATTTGGAAAAGTCCTGACATGTAGTCTGGGCATTTCCCCCCGGTGCTTGTGTGTCCTGTCGTCCTGTTCAGCATGTGACAGTGCAGTCTCTGCTCGCACTGCTCCAGTGCGGAGGAATCCCCGTGGGCACACACAGCAGGGCTGCTTCTGGTCCTAAAGGCCAGTCACCATATGCCTACTGAGGCAGCTCCTCCAGCTGAACATTGCACATTTCTTCAGCCACCTTCATATTTGTTTGTCCATGTGTATGTACACTCAGCCAGCATTTCACTATTCTCCACCTTGGGCTGGCATCCCCTTGGGCTGTAAGCACTGTGGGAGTGCGGCCAGGGTCGTGGTACATTTTGCTGTATTGCTCACACCCAGCACAATGCTTGGCACCTCGTAAGCGACATGGACTTATTGCCTGGGGCTACAGAGAACATGATGGTGTAGTGGCTGATACTTGTCTTGAGGAGCCCACTGGATCTGGTAGCGTAAGAGCAGGAGGAGGTGCCTCAGTGTTCTGGAGAGCACGTTGCTTTGTGTGAGACATGACAACACTTCACCTTCAGCTAGCATTTTGTAGACTCTAAAATATTTTTTAAAACCTTTTATTAGTGATTTTTCAAGGTAGCCCAGTGAAGTGGGCAGGAATTTATACACTACAGTAAATAACTATATACAGTCATACTTTGTGTAATGGCGGGGACACATTCCAAGAAATATGTGGTTAGGCGATTTCATCATTGTGCGAACATCATAGAATGTACTCACACAAACCTAGATGGGACAGCCTACCACACACCTAGGCTATAGATACTAATCTTATGGGACCACTGTCATATATACAATCTGTCCTTGACCAAATTGCCATTATGTGGCACGTGACTGTACCTTCAATGTCTAGGACCCAATCTGTTAGGGAGTTTAAATATCTGAACTCCAAAACTCAATTATCAAAAAAAAATCTTTTAGCTTACCCCAATACGATTCTGAATTTCTATTGTAACCAAACTAAGGCATTTTTAATATTTCACTCTGTATTACACAAGCAGTGCTATAACAAAAAAAAGGCGGGAATTGAAAGAAATTCACCTACTGTCCTACCACTCTGGCAGCCTAACGTCGTTCATTCTTCCCTTGGTTCATCATTAACACGAATTCTTTGTTGCGCTTGGTGGGGGAAATATGAAGGTAAATGAGGACTTTTATGCCTAGAGGCATTTCGTAGTCAGGTGTGGGTAATGACATGAAAAACCAGGTGGTCATGGTTCAGTAATATTTCCTTATCCACACAGGCCTCATTTGCGAGTTTCTCGTAGGTGCGTTCTTGGGTGTAGAAATACCGCATTTAAGAGTATGTGCTTCTTCAGCTCTCCTAGATTTCCTCAGATCGCTGATTAAATTAGTTGTTCCAAATTATACTCGTAATTGATGCACGTTCCTGTTACTTTACATTCTTGCCAAAATTTTGAACTGTCAGACTTTTAAAAATTAGCCCTGGGGCTGGCCCGGTGGTGTAGTGGTTAAGTTCACCTGCTCTGCTTTGGCAGCCCCAGGTTCGTGGGTTCGGATCCTGGGTGCAGACCCAACAATCCATGCTGTGGCAGTGTCCCACATATAAAGTAGAGGAAGATGGGCACAGATGGTAGCTCAGCGCCAGTCTTCCTCAGCAAAAAGAGGAGGATTGGTGGCAGATCTTACCTCAGGGCTAATCTTCCTAAAAAACAAAAAAAATTAGCCCATTCCTGAGAAGTGGTATCTCACGGTTTTAATTTGCATTTCCTTATTTACTAATGAACTTGAACATCTCTTCGTATGTTGATTATTTGTGTTCTATGACTTACATATTCATATTCTTTGTCCATTTTTCTATTACAGTTTATCTTTTTCTTATTTATTTGTAAAGGAGTTCTATATATATACAGGAGTCTAATACTTTATCAGTTAATATGTATGTCAGTCTATAGCTTATCTTTTCTGTTTCTTTACTAACAGAAGTTCTTAATTAATGAAGTAAAATATATGTCTTTGTCTTTTTTTTTTCCTGCTTTATCTCCCCAAATCCCCCTGGTACATAGTTGTATATCTTAGTTGCTCGTCCTTCTAATTGTGGCATGTGGGATGCCACCTCAGCGTGGCCTGATGAGCAGTGCCATGTCCGCGCCCAGGATCGAAAACAGTGAAACCCTGGGCCGCTGCAGCGGAGCGCACAGACTTAACTGCTCGGCCACGGGGCTGGCCCCCTGTGTTTGTCTTTATGATCAGAAAGCTTTTTTTTTTTTTTTTTAAGATTTTATTTTTTCCTTTTTCTCCCCAAAGCTCCCTGATACATAGTTGTATATTCTTCGTTGTGGGTCCTTCTAGTTGTGGTATGTGGAATGCTGCCTCAGCATGGTTTGATGAGCAGTGCCATGTCCACGCCCAGGATTCAAACCAACGAAACACTGAGCCGCCCGCAACGGAGCGTGCGAGCTTAACCACTCGGCCACGGGGCCAGCCCCGATCAGAAAGCATTTTTGTGCTTTCTGTGTCCTGTGTAAATCAGCCTTTCTACCCTTAATCCAGGAGGGAAGGACTCGGTGTGGTTTGCTCTTGGATCCTCAGCACACCAGGGTCCAGTATGTATTTGTTGAATGAAAGCATGACTTTCTAGTAGTATTTACTTTTATCTTTTTTTTTTTTATAAGTCTCATCAGAGTTTTGCTTTTTCAGTAGACTTTTCCCTTTTTTTTTTTTTTGAGGGAGATTAACCCCAAGCTAACATCTGCTGCCAGTCCTCCTCTTTTTGCTGAGGAAGACTGGCCCTGAGCTAACATCCGTGCCCATCTCCCTCCACTTTATATGTGGGACACCTACCACAGCATGGCTTGCCAAGCAGTGCCATGTCCGCACCAGGGATCCAAACAGTGAACCCTGGGCCACTGAAGCATAACGTGTGCACTTAACCTCTGCGCCTCCGGGCTGGCCCATTTAATAGACTTTTAAATGAATAAATGTTTGGCTTTGCTGATCCTTTCTTTTTTGTCTTAATCTATTTCATTAATTTTTGCTCTTTGTTATTTCTTTCCTTCAACTTTTTCGGAGTTTATTCTTTTTCTTTATGTTCAGTATTAAATTTTATCAAAGTAATACATGCATTTAGTTTAATGGAACTACAGTGTTTACTATGAAAAACAGTGGCCCCCGTCCCCCTTTTCCCCATTCTCCCTTCTTTAGAAGTAACCACTTTCTCTTCTTTTATCTGATTATTTGGTATATTTGGTTCTGTGTTTCCAAGTAGCATGTTTGTGTTGCTACCTCTTGACTTTGCAGTTTTAGACATTTTTTATGAATTCCTTCTATAAAACGTGAGGACTCAGCTCACCTCCCCAACTCCTCATGCTTATCGCTGTTTCCATTCCCTGCCCTCGCTTGTAGAGTGGGAGTGTAACTTTAGTCGGAGCAATAATCAGTGTTTTACATTCTCAAACACTATTCACAACTGATCCATAGTAAATTATGACAACTTTTGCTTTCCTCAGCAATCTATTCCCAGAGTTCATTGCTTCTTAGCTTCATTTCTATTGGTCACTGGTTTAAGCTCAGCCCTTCTCTGGCTGGCTGCATCTCAGGCCTTTCGGGTGATTCGTTAGTCATGCTGACCGTTCCATTTTCCTGGAAAAGCCTCTTCTGGACCATCTGACCTGCTCCATGCTGGAATGCTTGGTGCCCAGCTGTCATCCTCCTGCGAGTCCCCTCTCTCCCAGGCTGCGTAGCCCATGGCATCTTCTTTCTTGGTTGACTTTCTTCTTTGAGTGGCACACATCTTCCAGTAGCTTCCTAAGAAAGGATGCATGGGAATAAGTTTTTGCAACCTAATATGTCTCTGAATGTCTTTTTTCTGCTTGATACTTTCTGGATAGTTTGACTAAATAGAATTCGGCACTGGAAATCTTTTTCCTTCGGAGTTTTGAAGACTTTGCTCCATTGTTTTCTCGACCTCAGTCTGCTGTTGAGAAATCCAAAATCATTCCACTTCTTCACCACTTGGGAAGTATCTTTCTCTCGGAAAGCTTGCAGGATCTCCTCGTTTACTCCCGTGTGCTGAGGTTTCTTGGAGTGTTGCCTGGGTGGTTCTGTATCTGTATCGCTGAGACCCGGTGAGCCTGTGCTTGGGTATTTGGTGGGCCTTTCCATCTGCAATCCCTGCCCTTTGGTTCTAGGACATTTTCGTCTAGCGTTGTTTGATTTCCACTTCAGTTCACTCTTCATGGAGTGCTTGATACCTCCTGGACCGATCTTCTAATTTTATCTTTGTGTTAAAATTTCCATCTTTGTGCCTTTTTGTTGTAGTTTTTGACAAGTTTCTTCAAGTTTATCTTCCAGTTCTTTTATTGAGCTTTAAAAATATTTTTAAATTATTTTCGATGTTTTAGCTGATTAAAAATGCAATAAAATTCACCAATTTTAAGTGTAATATTTGATCAGTCTTGACAAATTTATACAGTTGTGTAACCATCACGAAATCAAGAAAAATAACATTTTTGTCATCCCTGAAAGTTCCCTCTTACCCCTTTGCCGTCAGTCCCTTCCCCCTCCCCAGCCCACTGCTCTGCCGATGTCGCTGTTTACCTTCCCGGGCGTTCATAGGAGGGGGAGTGTACAGGATGTGCTCTCGTATCTGACTTCTTTCACTCGGCACATTATCTTTGAGGCTCATCCTTGCTGTTTCGTGTGTCAGTAGTTCCTTACCATTGCTGAGTAGCATTCTCTTCTATGACCTTCCCACTGTTTGTTCATGCGTTCATCATTAAT